TTCTGCATTGTATGAAAAAAGATGATTAGTTATCTGACACATGTTATGCAAAATTAGGTCAGACAAATTAAAGCTAATCACATGATAAAATTTCTCTCCATATTAAGAAACTTGCCAGATTTTCTAGAAATAAATGTACGATGAGATGGCAAGTTAAGAAGCTAGATTTATTTATATTGTTAAAACTACTTCTCGAACGCAAAAGAGGCATACTCTTAATATTTTGAAATATAAATGAAAACATGTATAGCATGCATTGCAGATTTAAATGTCAAAAGAACATCTAGTTAAATCTCTCCTATACTGATATTTTGACTTATTACACATTCCATTTTACTGGGTGTATTTGTGTGTTTTTTCTTCATATGCAAGGTGTTTACGAGTCAGTTTTCCTTAGAAAGTCCTCCACAAAAGCATCTCTTCCCTTAGGCAGATAGCCCTCACGTGCTTTGCGTAATTCGATAAACTAAACCAAATCATTCTACAGTGTTTACACGCGGGATTTTGCAAGTGTTTTCTGAAATTTTAATTTTGTATGCCTGAATTTTATTATGTAACATATATTTAAATCAGGGATCCCCAACATTTTTCTTGCATCAACCCCTTTTCAAGCAATGGATTTCTTCTTCGACTCCCTCACATTTGCCGCCCAGATGATAAAGTGGTTAGTGACGCTAACTGCTATACCGAAAGGCCCAGGTTCGAATCCCGGATGTAATTTCTCCGTCTCTTAATAGGAGTCATTTCAGAGCATTGTGAGGCGAATTCTAGTAATCAAACTTTAAAATAAAGTTATCCTGGAAATAACACTGTCTCGGCTCATATGAATTCACTTTTATTAGGCAGACGTGTTCAATCTACATAAAGCTGATTATGTAATCTGTTAGTCTGAAAAAGCATGTAGTGTTTTCTATCACTACAAGCTTTTTCATTTTCACTTTCGAAACATCAAGAAGCAGTTAATAATTTCAATGCTGTTGGTGATACATTTATGTAAGGCTTAAAACTGGGAAGAAAAAATAAAATTCAAGAACAGATATGTAGGGTTTTAATCCGTTTATCGATTATGACATTTTTTGTATTATTTTTTAATTTGTGAGACTTTTTGAGGACAATGTTTTCCATTTTAAGTGCATTTTCCGGCCATTTTCAATTAATTTTTAGGTTTTCAAATCCAGACTCTGCTGATCTCATTTTCAGTTAATTTTTAGGTTTTTCAAAATCCAGACTGCTGCTAACCACAATAAGAATATTCTCAGCTAGTTCTTTGCAAAAATTATTATCTTATTTTATTTATTTATTGCAGATTTTTAGAGAAAAAAAGTTATTCTTTCCTTCTCCGACTTGCTACTCAGACGTTATGTTGTTCAAACTGGGTTATTATTTTAACAGTATATTAAGATTTACAAACACTCTATACGACTAATAAAATTCTACATCAAGTTTGAAAGCGCCCGTCTTCAATTTTTCTGATTATTTTTGATAAAATAATTACATCGCATACAGATCTTGGATAAACTCCCAACTCTTCTTTCATTGAAATTAGGTAATGCTTTAAATAACATATTGCTGCTCCAAAACTTGTTAATAGCTTTAAATTAATTATTCCAACACTTTTTCCAATAGATTTAACTTTTCCATCTGAGTAAATCAGAAAGAATTTAACTACGAGTATTTCCAATCATTTATGCTCACTTGAAAAGGCCATGGTAATCAAATGCTGAAATAACACACATGCTAAGGAAACTATTTAAATTTTTAAGAAGATAATTTTGTAATGATCGTTTCAGTGTAAAATAATACCATCGACAAACATGTGCTATTTACTGAACGTGGTTTCTTCTGTGGTCTCAGTAGATCCGAAGACTTTTGTGACATGATTTTCCTACTCAAAAGAGATTATTAACATTACTATAAACTCCGACAGTGCTACATCTAATGGTTCGGCACATCCGATAAACTGGTACTTTTTGCATAAAAATATACGTCTTTAACATGTCGCGAAAAACTGGATAACATTTATTAATATAGCCTAGGGATCAAGAAGTTATTCAAGGTTATTCAAAAATGCATATATAGAACTTTATTTGTGCAAAATTTATTAACTTCACAATGTCAAGGATATTCTAGTTCTAACTCAATACTGAATATACAATCTTCACAGCTGTTATTTCATGGAAAAGTGTAAAGAATATTGCATCCCAAAAAGACTTAAACTGCATCCATGAAGCTATATTCTGTCGAAGAAGGCGAAAATGTTGATGATCTAGGGAACTATTACTCTGACTTAATTGAACGCAGCGGAAAACCTTTCTTCGAGCAATCTATTAATCCTTCTTTCAGAAAAAAAAATTGTAAATGAATTGAAAGTGACAAAAATAAAGCACCAGTGGAAAGAGTACTTTTCCCAAAAGTCGAACTGTCAGCTATTTCACCATCAGCAGCTTTTTTTGAAGAAAACTTAAGTGAAGACATCCTAAACATCCTAATTTAAAGCGTGCTGAATCCTTACGTTACAAATGAAATGAAAAGCAAAGACGAATAAGAGGATTCAATCAAGATCAAATGGCGTGAGACTGATAAAATATCAAATATATCTGTGAATTCCGCTAAAACCGCCCAGGCTAGGGAAGCCTTCCTGCGGTACCAAAGGGTCTGGTTTCGGATCCCGAAGAAGTATGAAATGTTTCTAAATGGTATAGTATCTTTGCAGCACGGGGGCGCTCGAAATATATGCCGCCCGAAGCGCTTCTGATGTGGTTTGGTCATAGGGGAGAGGGATGGAAGACCCTCGGACAACTCCCCTGGGTGCTCTCCCTCAAAACTGGGATGGAAGTAGAAGTTCAATCTCCTTGTGGCATTGGCCACCATTCTTCCATGAAATTCATGGACAAGACGAGAACAATAACAACTTTGCTAGAAGAAACTGATAAAAATGGTAGCGAAAAAATAATAAATATTCATATTCTACAGAATATTTTTTTAAAAAACACGAAATCTTTGAAGCAAGTAGGCATACGAAATTTATGTGGAAGGATTTTATCCATCTGAAAAATGGATGATATCAAAGAGAAAACTCAAATAATGTCAAAGAGAAAAGATGAATATAAATAAGCTATTTTTATGTGTTTATTTACTGAGTCAGGATGACTCATTAAACATGTTTACAGAAATATTATCTTATTATTATTTTCTCATTCATTTCTTAATGTATTTAGTAACTCAAAAAAAAAAAATCATTTTGAGACATTATGCAATTTTAGTCCAATAATGGAGCATCACTTAATTCCCGGATAGGCCGGATTACCGGATTTTGTTGTACATTCGAAACCAGAGAGGTTCGATTTTTTTTTCTTCTTTGAGACTGTGTATAACCTGATTTGAATGTGGCGTAGCTTTGGGGATCAGACTAATTTATGCGGAGCATTGCTTTGCATTACAGTCAATGCCCATACCCATACAAAGCCGTCCAAATATAATTTGAAACAAAGTTCTCCATTACTAAACGATACGACAAGCTTCTGGAAATAAAAAGGTGCAGTATTTTCTTTTTTTTTTTTTTTTTTTTTTTTTTTTTTTTTTTTTTTTGATTGGATTGTCTCTTAATATTTTGATAATGTCTATAGTGTTATGAATGAAGCGAATTTACAAATATTCTGCTTGGAAAATAAATCTTTTTAAAAAGGAATTTGTGCTGAACTGCTGCTAAATTTAATTAACTGAAATCTGTAACATAACATTAATGTTAACTTTAATTTTAAATCTATGTATTTTAATTGTTTATTTTTAGCCTATGAACAAGTGAAAATATAAGCCCCCAGATTAGAATTTGCTACATTTCGATCACTTCGCAAATTAATGCTCTGGTATCTGACTTTCCGGAATAATACTTTTTCTTTCAATTTTCATATACAACTTTTGGAAAATTTTAAAATTGAAAAATTTAACTTTACACCAGTTTAAAAGTTATGAACACACTATTTTCAATCAAATATTTCTTTTAATATTTAGTATAAATAGTTTGATTAGTTCATTTTTAATAAAATCGGTAAGGAATCTTAAAATTTTAAAGTACTGCCTGTTTAAAGAAATTTAGTATCCTATTATGAAAAAGGGAGTGTTGTTAGCTTCAGTAAATATAATTAGTTTTAATAAAATGTAAGTTATATGAGCTGAAATATAAAATTAAATCATCCGTAAGCATTGAACTTGATATTTAATTTAATGTTAGTTATTTTTAAACAGAGAAGCTTCCTGTGTTTTGCCTCAATTAAATGATTCACTTCAGACTAATGATTATTAATTGTATCTTTATTAATTCAATATTTTTTAAATGATAAAATTAAAATTGGATTAAAATTAGGTTTTATTACTGATAGTTTAGAATGATCAAAAAAGACTTTTTTCACTTTGCACACTATCTGAAGAAGCGACGTAATTATGAAGAAAACTGCTAAAATTATTTATGTAAATCATAGAAGAAATGCTTTTATCAAAAAGTTTGCATTTTACAAATTATATAACATATTGGCAGTTAGCTTGATAGTGTCAAATGCACAAATTTACATTCAGAATGAGAGACGAGGGAAATCATAGTAGTCAAATGTCAGTAGATGCTTTTTAATCATTTAAAATTTGAAATCTTTGTCAAAACATCAGTCGAAGTTTAGATAATTGAGAATTATTGTGAATTAGCAAATGCGTATAATATATTTATATATTAAAGATTTTTCTAATAAATTTTGTCGGATTACAAAATATTGAGTGACAATTGATTGGTTAAAATTTCCTAAATTATCTTTAAATCTTAGTATGTTTTCTATTACTATTTTTCTATATGTATAGTACTTGTGTATATAAAATGTCTTCATACATATATTATATATCGTTTTTATAATTTTTGTTTTAGTTTCCAATTTGTATTCCTTGTATTATAAAGCTAATGTCTTTGTTGGCAAAACACTCATTTATAATAATAGTAAAAATGACGAAAATAAAAATACAACGCAAATAAAATATTTTATTTGGGAGAAACAAATAATAATAACTCTATATAAAATCTCTAGAAGGGACTATGTACAAATGAAAAAGTTGTTTGAAACGAGGAATGCTCAACCGTGATGACACTTGTGACCATGCATCTCGCTCAGCATCTTGGCGACCAATCCTGCCGCCAACATCTCTGTGATTCTGGATCCTCCTCCGTGTTTGTTGCCCTTTCCTCCTCCCATTCCCATCATTCCACCTCCTCCTCCTCCTCCTCCCATGCCGGGCTTGGCCAAGCAAATGTTGCCTAGGAGAGCGATGGCCAAGACAATGGAGAAGAAAACTCGTCTGTTACACTGCATATTTGGTTCAAGTGCTCTGAAAAGAATACAAAAGCGCATTTTAGTACCTTGAAAAGAACAATATTTCATTGAAATTATAAGGTATTTTATGTTAATTAACCAATTATTATGGTTTAAACCTTTACTACTCTTTTCCATAGTCCTCACCAGAATGCACTGTAGTTGTTTGCGTATTTAAATGAGGGTTTGAATGTTTAGTTTAGAGCAGGTGTCTCCAAATTTCTTAATCCGCGAACCGTATTGGCTGTTTCACGAATGTCCGAAGGCCAAGACCTAGTTAGTTCATCACGCCATGGTTAGTTCATCATTCATCGTACAATGAAATTGTGATGAACATACACGTTTTTAAACAAGGCAGCGAGATTTTTGCGATTGAATCTATACCGCTATGATAAAACGAAGAGACTGGTTTTTAGACTTTCATGCAGTTTCACCTTACATAAATTTCTTAAAACAGTCTAAATATTTGCAACAATATTCTTGTCTCAGAATATCAAACATTTCTTCTCTTCGGTTTGCTACGTAAATTTAGTTTTAATTGCATTTATCTTCCTGTTGTAAGAATTTATCAGCCCATTTTTTTATATTTTGATCAAGTGTAAACTTTTTCTCATAGGTATTTCAGATTTTGAGCAAGTTTATGAGGGGGGGAGGTTCTCCAAATTTAAAGTAAATTACAACATATACAGAACAAAATTAAGACTTAAACAAAATTGCTGCTGAAAATTTCTATGAAGAAACCTAGAATACTACTCTGCAAGTAGATAAATATAACACATGAAACAGTTTTTCTTGTAAAATGAATTGTATAACATAATAATGATAAATTGTGTAACAGAATGTTACTCTATTTCACTTATTGTAAATTTAAAAACGATTGTATAATACTATTTATAATATACTTTATAAAGAATGTGCATGACAGCCAATATATGTATAGATATATTGTTGTTTAAAATATGTTACATTGCTTTTTTAAAATTTTATAAAATTATTTAAAAACCTTTTTCGGATCGAACTGATAATATTTGTGACCGTAGTTTGGAGACTCCTGATTCAGAGCTTCTGGCAGCCACGTCTTGCATTTACTTAGGATCTTCAGCTATGCCTAAGGTCGTACTCCGGCTTTAACGCCTTGCTTGTCGACGTTTAAAATACGCGTCATTAACTGTACTAAGCCAGCTTGAATAATCCAATACATGTGCAGTCTTCGGCTACATTATCTACATTCGAATTTAACTTTATCTTATGTTAATTTAAATTCTCTCAAGTAAAAGAGGTTTACCTGTTGCTCAAGGAGTGCTTTCTATTTATTTAATACTCAAATAAAGAGGTTATTTTGTACCGTTTTTAGGCTTTGTGAATTTGTTCCAGACAAAAGTGACACTGGCTTGGATAACTATGTCTTGGAATGAGATAACTCGCTGAATATAATTGACACAAGCTTCTAGGTACAGCAGAACCTTACAAGCTTGTAAAAATGCATTGCAATGTGATATTTTTCAAAATTGCGAACTACTTGAGCTAGTATGTATAAATATTATCGTAGATTTTTTTAAAGTAATGTTTATTTTTATATAAAAGGAAACATCTGTGTTGCTGTAGATTTTTTTAAGAAATGTTTACTTTTATAGAAAAGGGAACATCTGAGTTGAAATAACTATTAATTTAGAGAAAGTCAATTACTCTGTTACAATCTCACTAATTACCTTCAACTACTTATATTTAATTATCTTTTACTTTTTAGTTTAGCAGTATTAGATTAGAAATTAGATTAGATTAGCAATTATAAAAATACTGAAAATTATACGTAAATTGAAATATAATGTTCAGTGATTCATCTAGTAATATTAGCCTAAAAGTAAAATAAAAATAATAACTGGACTTTGTAAAAGTTATAATCATTTGAAATTCGAATTTTAGACCTGCACTGCGCCAAAAGCGCAATTTTCATTTTTCGCTTTTTAACTAATTGCGTGCATTTGTATTTTTTACGTTATTTTCTCAAATTTTATCCTTTTCTAAAAGAAAGGAAAGTGTATTAAATGAGATAACTTCATATAATTTATAATATAGAACTGCAAACTTAGTTTATTTTTTCAAAATTATCGAGTGTCTAATATTTAAACGGAAATTTCTCTAACAAAGATTTTATCAGTTTATGGTTTTCCAAGTTACTGATGATATTTCTAAATAAATTAGAAAGGTATTTCCATTGATTTTTTTAAATTTTAATTTTTTTCCATATCTTCATTTTTGTAAACAAATCGAAGTTACATAATAAATTAGGTCCCTGTTTTGAAGTATGTTACCAGACTTTCTTCCATCTTTCTTTTCCTATAAATATTTGTTTTTGAGATTATTTTGTTCAGAAAAATTTCTTACTATCATTTTATCTCGAAATTAATATCGCCAATTACAAATATCTTGTGCATAAAGCTTTAAGTTCGAGGAGGATAAAATATATTAAGAAATGTTAGGTTAGGATATAAAATTTTGCAGAAGGAAATTAACAGAGCGTAGTTAATATATGTAGATGCGAAAGGAGATATCAATTGAAACACAACAGCGTTATTAGAAATTTAAGTTGATGTAGAAATAAAGTAAGTGTAATTAAATTTTGGAAACATTTCTCAGTGTCACTGAATTTTGAAAATGTAAAATTTATAGGCTTTATGTACAGTTTCAAGAAACATTGTATAAGCATTTCGTTTAACATTCACATATTACAGATTTGCGTATTTAAAGAACGAAAACAAGCCAGTATTTTCTTGATTCAAATATGCGCTTTTTTGTTGTTTGTTGTTGTTACTTAAAGTGCTCTTTTCCTTAAAAATAAATTACAACATAAAAATGAAACTCTTAAAGCTTTTAGATTTTATATTAGGTACAAACGGACGTTTTTTCATTTACACACATATACACGTTTCGAGAGCATTAAAGCTAATACCAAATTGTGCTAAAAATATTTAAAAACAGCATAGCTTAAAAATTTCCGACAGACAGTCTCACGCGCTGGAATAAAAATGTTTTATTCCCTATAGTGTTGCCAATGCTCGCTTTGAAATTGTCGAGTTTGTTAATAAAAAATTCGTTAAAATTTTACATAATATGAAATAGATAATAAAATAAATTCGAAATTCAAGATTCGGGCTACCGGGTGCTCATGTTCGGGTGGAGGACTGCGTTATTCAAAATTTGATGACATTAGGTATCACTGTTTCTTCGCAATACGAGAAATATACGTACGTTCATGCAGATTCTTCTTTATTTATTTACTTTAAATACAGGGCGATAATATTTAGTGGCAACAATTTGAAAAGTGATTCAGTTATTTAATATGATTCCACGCAAAATGCTGTTTTGATGGCTTATTGAGTTAACGCCTATTTGGTTTAAAATTTGAAAGCGGAGCATTAAATAAAAGAACTGATTTAATTTAACTCAATTGTTTGTTTTTTGCATCAAAGACTTTAGTTTAAATTATTGTTATAAGAGTCTAATCAATTACGCATTAATTAAAGGTGAAAATTTTGCTAATTAATACGATTATATACTTTGGACAGATGGAGATATAAAAAATATGCACATGTAAGGTGAAGACTTGATTGATAGTCATTATTATGTAAAATACTGACACTTGATTTTCATAAGTTACTAGAAAAAAACTATTGTAAGAATATATTTGTATAAAATAAATAAATTTCTCGTAAATAATAACACGTACAAGAAGCTTTAAGGCTGTAAATACTTCACTTAACAAAGTAATTTAAATAAATGTGCACTTGAAAGTTGCTGATATATTCGATTTTCTTTTGGTATTCACGTATTTTTATGTTTTGAGTGCTGTGAATGGAAGACAGAAGAGTCTATAAATAACTTCATCAAAAAATAATTTCTGTATGGCTCTGGAGTAAGATACAGCATACTTCAATTTAAGTACTACGTTCAGCATTTGATCATTTAGAACTTAGTATGATATTTTTTTATCACTTAGAATTTAACATGAAATGATTTGATCACTTAGAATTTAACATGAAATGATTTGATCATTTAGAATTTAATATGATATGATTTGATCATTTAAAATTCATTATGATACGATTTGATCATTTAGAATTCATTATGATATAATTTGATCATTTAGAATTTAATATAATAGAATTTGATCGTATGGAATTTATTATGATATGATTTGATCATTTAGAATTTAATATGATATGAATTGATCATTTAAAATTTCACGTGATAAATATGATTTGAAGAAACATGATTAGAATGCGATTGCACATATTCTAATCTTTTTAAGTTCTAGAATGTCAATTGTAAAAAGATAAGAAATCTCTTAATTGCCTCTAAACTTCCAAAATTTGGAAGATTAAAAAGTAATTATAAACTTTTGATTAGAAATTCATTCATACTTTGTTTAAAATATAATTTTACATATGCACGTTTTTTATTCATAACCCAAAACTAAAAGTATTTGTTATTTAAATTTAACGTATGACTAGTGATAATAATTATAAAATCCTTTTTTAAAATAATATGAGCATAAATTTAAAACAGTTTAATAATCAAATTTATTTTTTAAAAAAAAGTTAAATTTCTGTACCTCAAAAATATTACCTTTACAAGTTTAACAGAAGAAGTAAAACTGTGTATTTTTGCACAATCGCACAAGCTATTCTCGTTGTAGCATAACTGTAAATTCACTGAAGAATACCGAATTTTGGAATCGAACAAAAATGTACTTACTTCGTCTAACTCTGCAAGAGAGAAGAAGACTGCTTGTCGAAGCGAATTCGAACTGTGATCAGCATATCACTCACAGCGCTTTATATACAAAAAATGTCCTTATTGAAACCATTCACCTTATCTTGTTTTTCCCCTTTCCTTAAGTTTCAGGCGGTTTGTAATCTCCCTACACCCCTTGGAGGAAAGCCGTAAAGTACTTTTTTTTTTTTTTTTTTTTTTTTTTTTCTAATGGAAGAAAGGAGACTTGCGAGGGATTTTCTCAAAATGTATGCAGCACTTCCTTAAAATTTAACGCAAGTCATCTTCTGAATTCTGCCTATTTTTAAAGTTTTAAGTTGACATGCTTTATTTACATCTGTAATCCTTTCCTTTACTAAAAACTATACAAATTCATACCTTATTGCAATCCGTAGTATTACATTTACACTTTATAATTATACATTTATAATTTTTGCAGAAATATTCCTTATTTCATATACAACCAAAACGTCTCGAAATATTAATAGCTTTGAGTAGCAATGCAAGATACAGGTACTTAATTTGATGTTATATATGTGACAAATGTGTTACGTGCACGTAACTGCTTGTGACAATATTACACACAAACTTAACAATATAACTTTTCCATAACTATTAAAAATGGTAATGTTGATTTATATTTTATCCAGGCCAAATATAAATAAATATTAAATATGTGATTCCTATATAATAGAGAAAGAAATTTTTTCTCTTTTGAATGCGCTTCATTTACTTTAATCTCTCGTCGATCACCTGGATTGCTAATGAAACCAGTTACACTTCTTCAATTAACTTATGAGTAATCTTCCTCATTACGGCCAGAAAGAAATTATCTCATAAGAGGTTCTTCAGCACTGCGAACTTTCTATCCATCTCTTTTTTTTTACCTTGCGGCTTATACGAAATCGCCTTGTTGCTTATGGATTATCAGAAAGGTGGCTTCGAAGTGCCGATTGGGCAGAGTCTTCAGTTTTCCATTTTAGCTCGTGTTAACCATCCGATTCAGCGATTGGAATCATTTAGAAGAAAGATGTGAATTCCTACACCATCTAGAACTTTTCCTCCTGTCTCTGTGTGGGATCTGAGAGTCGACGGCGGCCGTTGATTCCTGTCATCCGATCCTGTCTACCATTTTTTTGGAGAAACCCTCTCTTCAAAGGAGTACTAGATAGGTTTTATTTTTTTGCGTGTGTACCCTATCTTCGTAAGGTGTAAGTTTAAAAAAAATTCTTCTTAATGTGAAGGTATTTGTTTAAGGTTACGATTGATCGAAATTCTAATTTAAGCATCTTAAGGATTAAGTTTTATTTAAAAAAATTAAAGAAAGGGATTACCAAAGTTCTTTTAATTAATTTGTTAAGGTTACGATTAGTCTGAATTCTTAACTTTATTATTTTTCTTTGATATAACTATCCTATTATTTTTAGGTTCACATTTATTGTGCAATATTTTCTTGAAACTTTTTTTTTTTTTTTTTTGTGAGACTAGTTTTACTAGTTAGATGCAGAAGAGTGTTATCTGTTTAATTGACACTTCATTTACGGTATGGTAGGCTTACCCACACCGGGGCAAGATTAATGTTTTTATAAAGTATATATGTGCAATATCATGGTTAAATTATGTGCAGTAATATCATCATTCGATAGATGTACCGGTAAAAATATATGTCTTCTGAATTAATAGAAATTTTTCTTATATTATAAGGTATTTCTCCTTTCCTAGCGTGCCTTCGTGGTGTAGTGGTTCTGCACGCTGGGCCGGTATTCCAGAGGTCCGTGGTTCGATTCCCGGCGATGGCTTTGCTAATTTTCAATCTCTCTTGCTTCCAAAAAATCCTAATGCCTCTACAGTGGCGCCCGAACTAAAAGGGTGTTGGATGAGGTTTCCCCCCACCCAGTAATTTGCGATTGGGTTCCCTAAAAAAAAAACTCCCGGTCGCCCTTTAAAAAGGGGAGTGTATAAGGTGTTTCTCCCACTTTCGTATTTCTCCCACTTTCCCACTTCGTGGTGTAGTGGTTTTGCCCGCTGTTCCGGTATTCCAGAGGTCCGTGGTTCGATTCCCGGCGACGGCTTTGCTAATTTTTCAATCTCTTTTGCTTCCAAAAAATCCTAATGCTTCTACAATATGACTGTTAATGATAATTGCAAAGAAAGTAATTTGTGTTAGAAAATCTGCAATGTCCTACAATATTTAATATTCTCCTTTACCTCGCGCAAGAATATTCAGTTTTATTTGTATCTTTAAACTTGTCTGATATAATCCATATCTTAATCGAAATAAAGTTTAAGCTTAATTAATATATGGAAGTGTTTGTTATAATTTTTTTGGGGTGTCATGCTCTTGCAAACCACAGAGGTTGTTCTTCCTAAATCACAACGCAATGTATTGGGACTTCTAACTCGTTCCCTTTTCAGGATTTAATGTTTCTACATACCAGCACTTTCGCGTTATAACTAGGGGTGCTGATTTGGCACTAAACAAGTAGAACCGTTTATGGTACACAACAAGTAGCGGCTTAACAAGTAGTGCCGTGACAACTGACACTTAATACTCGAAGCTCTATTCTAAGGCAATAGAAGTTAATACAACCATAACACAACTCACGGCATACAACGAGAGTCGGAGTTAGAGTTGGTCTGAGTTCACTTGCTTAGGTATTGTTGCAAGTTGTTATTTCGGCGTGAACTGAGATATCCGAGTTAGCTTTCTCTTTAGATGCTCTTTGCATTGCATTGAGTTTGACGATCTTAGTAGTTTGAAGTGTGGTTTCTGATCATACTGTGAATACTTGCACGAGTATTTCCGTGGAAAATTCCAGAATTCTAAAATATTTCTTTTAATAAAAATAAATTTTATTAACCTATTATTGGATTTGTGCATTCAATCTATTAGGAACCCATACGCACGCAGTAATATACTTTCGATTCAGCCAGTTTGTTAAGCAATGTATAGCTTTCATTTGAAAAATAAATTAAAGATTTTATGTCATTTCGGATGTGAATATCTTTGAGAGTCGATAATGGACACTTTGCAGGCAAGTACATTTAGCCAACACAGACATTTAGCCAATATGCCATTCAGCCTACTGCACGTTTAACTGACTAAATGTTTAGCCGAGAGCATGCTTAGCTGACAGTGCGTACATTTATACAAAACCATGTGACCATGTTTCAGTAAAATGTTTCCACATTTAGCCGACAATGGGAATTTCCAAGGAGGAATGGGACTATTCAAGAAGGATTGGCGGTCTGACATTGTAGAATCCTATTACAGCTTTATCGATGAAAAAGTGGCAAATTTGCGAAAGAAGTGTTATTTTCAGTTTCCCATTGCCAAATTTATTGTACCTGTTTATAATGAAATCGACTATAAAAATTTCACTGATTTACGATTACAGTCTAATTTCGCATAGTTTAAACCGTATTAAATTTGTTTTTCTATAGCAGATTACTTTCTAAGTTCGTAACTGATACAAATGATTCAATTTTTTTTTATTCCTCAAAAGTTAAGTAATAAGGAAGAACTATATGTTTTTTTCATTAATCCCAAACGGCAGTTTTCCTTTATTTCACTACGCCTTTATATCTATGTCTTAACACAGAAAAGGGCAACTATTTGGTTTTAAGACAGTATTTCAGCAAAAGATTCATATTTTAGAAACTTTTGATCCTGGTATTGGGAGGTTAAAAGATCTAAAAATTGTCGCAAAGTACTACGATAAAGCTATTTTAGGTAAGATAGCAATTGCAGATGTGACGTCTACAGATGAGTGAATGCTTAATGTTATGAAAATATACGCACCACTGGACATCCATAATTGCGATGAAACAGAAGTATTCTTGTAGTTGCTTCCTTCGAAAACTTTGGTTCTCTGAGGTGAAGGATGCGAAGAAGGAAAACGCAGTAAACAACGGATAACACTTTTATTTAGTGTAAATATAGATGCCAAGAATAACTGCAAATCTCTTGCAGGGAAAGAGGTAAAACCTGGGAAGTTTGAAGGTTTAAATTTAGATAATACTGTCACAAAGCATTTTTCGAGAGGATTGCTCGACTTGAACATGAAATGGCAGCTGAATATAAAACTGCATGTTATTTGATAATTGCGTTGCTCATGATATTCAGCCTTCTTCTCCTTCAGTTTTCTCACACCCCTTTTCTCCTTCAGTTTTAACTACGGGCAATTAAATTTATTCTTGCCTATTGTTGCCACTAAATTTGCTTTAAGTCAATAATCTTTTGTTATTACTAATCTCACTTGTCTGACCTATCAGAAGAACTAATAATTTGGTGTCCGCCGATAACATCACGGCAAAAACATCGCGGACGAAAATAACATCAAAACATCGTAAAACATCATCGCAGTTCTAAAACATCGTGCTACAAAACCATCGTCGTCGAAATAAAGCTGTTCAAAAACTTCGCAGTTTAAAATATCGTCATCGAAAATATTGTGGTAAAAAATAAAGTATCTACAAATCATCGCATGACGATAACTTCGCAGACATGCTTTTTTCAGGTTTTAATATTGTAAATGGGTATTCCCATAATGATTTGTGAGCGCAGTATGTAAAGAGGATATTTTTATTTTCACATATTTTATTAACTAATAAATGTTTGCTGAAAACGTAAGAAGGAAACTTAAGCATAAAAAATTAAATGCAAATTATAGATTATACTTTTCATGAAAAATTACCAGTAAAAACTTTATAAAATGATTTATTAATGGCCTTTGTTAGTTAACTATGTCGGTTTAAAATTCTATTAAGTGCTATAAGTCGCTTAATTTTAATTTTCTATGCTTAGTTTCATTCTTATTTTCTCAGCAAAAATTTATTAGTTAATAAAAAGTATGAAAGTAAAATTATCCTTCTTTCCATCTTGCGATCACAAATCAATATGGGGCATATCCATTTACAGTTATTAAAGCCTGAAAAAAGCATGTCTGCGATGTTATCGTCATGCGATGATTTGTAGATACTTTATTTTTTACCACGATATTTTCGACGACAATCTTTTTTTAAACTGCGAAGTTTTTGAACCGCTTTATTTCGACGACGATGTTTTGTACCACGATGTTTTAGAACTGCGATATTTTCTCGTTGCGATGTTTTCTCCCACGATGTTTTGTAGC